GTTTATGTGCATTTACTTTTTTCTTTTATGGCGGTTGGCATCCAGCTTAATGGTGCTTTACTACCACCCCGGCTTTTGTTAGCTTACTGCTCCCAAATTAGGAGGTTGCCACTGTACTTATGTGTATAATAACGTAGACCCAACTAATCGATTATTAAATTAGTTGGCAACTATTTTAATAATCGATTTTAATCGATTAAATCGATTAGTTGTTGCAGCCCTAGCTGCAATACAGTCACATGACCATTCACCATGTGCAGATTCATTTAATTTCCACCACTCCATCTGGGTGCTTAACTTTTTGTGTCACTGAGTGTAGTTTTACTCTGAAATAACTTGAATGTTTCAAGACCTTAATAACAACCCTGAATCTAACTATTACTTTTTGTACAAATGTCAAATTTTCATATGACCATTTCCTCTCCCGCAAGAAGGCATGAAATATTTTATAAATGAACCCACATTTACTCACCCCTTAGCGGCTGGTAAAGAGTAGCATTTTCTGGCCAGGGTTCAGATGCTATAACAACAGAAACATAAGTCATTTTCATATCTCTTTCATTAACAGGAATGCAACAGACCACAAAACTTGCAGTTCGTACAATATCATGGTTTTTGAGTCATGAGTCAGTCAATTTTTTGGATCATAAAAAGGCAATAAATATAACCAATTTCCATTTATTACATAAATAACTTACAGAACAAAGCAATGAACTTTTAATATGCCCTGTTCATGTGAACACACAATGGCTTTGTATCTTGTCAATGCAATTCTGCAGGACTTCCATCATTATCTTTCTTTGTCTTATGTCAGAATCTTTTGATCTCAACAAAATCAAAAGTTGTTTTTTCAAAGTCACGAGTTATTTTCTAGAGAAATAACAAAATTTGTCATCTCTGGAAAAGTAATTATATAAGCAAATAGCATTTGTCAAGAGAAAGAGGGAAGTCGATCCCATAACAAATGCCATGTCTAATGACAAGTCACTTTCTTTATTTGCAGCTTCCCTAGAGGGGAAGGTTTGTGGTGGCACATGCTTCACAGTTTATAATTTTCAAAATATAGAATAAGATATGAATAAAACATTTAAGCTTATTTTATATGTGCATTTCACAATTCCCCCTGTAATGTAAATGTACATTATGTGATTTTTCTTTTGTAATAGTAAACTGGTAGCATGACATGGAAAGCAGTTGTACACATTCATTTGAACAAGAAGTTACATTTCAAAATGGAATTTGGACATCATATTCATCTTGGGCCAGACAGATATGAAATGCATATTAGAGAGCAGGTTTGCCTCTGTAAGGACTAAGGAAACACTGAAATTAGCCTGGCCCCGATTGGCTTTATACCTGAAAAATAGCCGAAAACATGGCATGCTGAGCAATTCATTTGAATTAGAAGCCACATTTTCAATTGGAATATGGTCTTATTCTCCTTGGATCAGGCAAATATGAAATTCGTAGTACATAGCATTTTCAGGTATAAAACTAATCTAGACCAGGCTAATTTCATTGTTTCTTAACAGTGGTATACCAGCTGTGTACTATACTTTTTGTACAACCCAGCTTCCAAAAAGCTGGGAAGCTGTGTAAAATGCAAATAAAAACAGAATGCAATGATTTACAATTTGCATAAACCCGTATTTAATTGAAAATAGAACAAAAGACAACATATTAAATCTTGAAACTGAGAAATTTACCACCATGTTTTATGACCTTTTCTTTTACCAACATTTGGAACCTGAGGAACCCAGGTGCTGGAATTTTGAAAGTGAAATGTTGTCCCATTCTTGCCTGATATAGGACTACTCAACAGTTCGGGGTCTAATTTGTCATATTTTTCATTTCATGATGTGGCAAATGTTTTCAATGGGTGACAGGTCTGGACAGCAGGCAGGTAAGTCTAGCACCTGGACTCTCCTACAACAGAGCCATGCTGTTGTAATACATGCAGAATGCGGTTTGGTATTGTCTTGCCGAAATATACAAAGCCTTCTCTGAAACAGACATTGTCTGGATGGTAGCATATGTTGCTCCTATACCTGTATATATAATTTACCATTAATGGTGCCTTCCCAGATGTGCAAGCTACCCAAGCCAGTGTACATTTTATGTCTGTTTATTGTTACATAAGAACCTCAGAAATTCAGAAATAAGAGGCAGCCAGTTGTTAAAATCTTATCAAGCTCTGATTTCAAGGAACCCAAGCTTCTAGCTTGCACTACACTAACAGGAAGATTATTCCATACTCTAACTACACACTGTGTAAAGTGCTTTCTCAAATCCAGTTTAAAATGTTTTCTTACTAATTTCCACCTATAGCCATGAGATCTTGCATTTGAACTAATATTGAAGTAACTATTTGGTTGAACAGCATCCAGACCTGTTAGAATCTTATATACCTGGATCATGTCCCCCCTTAGTCTGCTTTTCAGATTCAGCTCTGCTGACCACTCATTATAAGACATTCCTCTAAGACCAGGAATCATTCTTGTAGCCCTACGTTGAACTCTTACTAAGGCATCAATGTCCTTATTAAGGTAAGGTGAGCAAAACTGCACACAATATTCTAGGTGGAGTCTTACCAAGGAATTGTATAATCTTAGCATCCCCTCCCTTGACTTATACTCCACACACCTAGAGATGTAACCTAACATTCTATTGGCCTTTTTAATTGCTTCCCCATACTGGCAAGCGTTTGACATGGAAGCATCAACATATATACCAAGGTCTTTCTCATAATCAACTACCTTTACTTCAGTGAAACCCATAAAATACCTATACTATATATTTCATTGTTGTTCTTCAATAACTTTGCACATTTTACTGAATATTCTGATTATTCAAAAGTGGTTGATTTGCATTTATTTCTGAAAATATTCTACATTGTGAACTTACATTGAGGGGTGCCAGTAATCCTGATCAAGACTGTACATCTTGTATTGAAAATATATTGATATACTGTAAACATTTCACACACCACCCAGCCATAATGGTCTTACTAGTTTCACTGTCCTCCGGAGACTTCTGTTGTGTTGAGAGCGGATTTGCAGCAGTTTTTGTGTTGCATGCGTTTTCAGAATTTGTAGTGTTTTCTGATTCAGCCACATGCTATTGGCCATTGTATTAAGGTGGTGATGGTATAAAACTTACAAGATCTTAAAAATCTCACAGAACAGTGATCTGTCTTGTGATTGGCCAGGATTGTGCTCGATTAGATCTACACTCATTTCCTCTTTCTGAGTATTCTAGAAGTTTGCCTGTTTTCTCAACCTGAATTTTGGGGGGCATTCTTCATATGTGAATTAAGAGATCAGAAGACCCATACTGGGTCGTCTAAACGTAGATACTTCTATCTGGCTATTTTGGGTTTTTAAGGCTGAGGGAGAATTCAACTAGATAAGCTGGATTAAATCTGAGTTCGGAGATAATTGCACGCTCCCATGGATATTGACTAGATTATATGTATCGACACTGAAAACCAGTCTGCAAGTGTGTGACTGGTGGTCTAAAATGGTGAAAGTGAGGGTGCAATTGTTACACATTATTTGGGACTTTGCTGGCTCCATCAGAACTGTGCTCTGGCTTTTGCCATTTTGCCCACAAAATATTTATACATCTGGTGCATATAAACTGAAGGAACTACAGAAGGAACAAGTCATGAATAACATGTGAAATACTGATCTCATGTTTGTTCATCATCAGTGATGGGCGGTAGCGCCGCTACATGTACCGAAGCTATTAGTTTAACTACATTTTCTAATAGCTTGCCTGTAGCGTCGCTGATTTCTGAATCAAATAAATTTCCAGTAGTTATGTTATTTTTTTGATCAAGTAGTTACGTAGCATCCATAAAAGCTACAATTTCTGAGAAAAGCAGAGGTTTCCTCTGCAGTATGATTTTGAAACGCAACAGACAGAAATAAAGCATGTTCATGCACAACCTTGTACTCTGCTTCTACTGCCTGTCTATCGAAACATGCATGCGTATGGCAGCGTCATGAGATCAATACTTCAGTTTCAATTTCTGTCCTGAATGCATTGCGGCTGTCTGTGTAAACAATGCTGCTCTAGATTGTCACTCCCGGCTGTCACGTGACTCAGCGGCACCAGGCAAGCAAACAGGCCGACTTATGCGTGTGCGCGCGCGCACACACACACACACACACACACGCAGTATAATATTTACAATAAAGTATTGAAGTATTTAATCACCAGATAGCGTTTATTACACCCGTATTACTACAACCCACACACTAGCACTGCCCACCGTGCATGTCGCCCCGTTTACTCCTCATACACACGGTGGGTGCACGCACACATACACACACACACTACGTACAACAATAAACATTAATGATTATACATGACTTATACTACGGGACCGTTGAATGCTTGAATCTGATTGGCTGACGAATGTTCTGAGGTGTGCAATTATTTTCTGGGAAACGCACGGCGATCGTAGTTCCAGGCAGCTCTCTTGACCGTATTACAGTTCCATATCACTTTGCATAGTTAACTTTAATAACGGAAATTAGCATACAGTACCTATACAGCACACAGGACTAACAAAAACAACAACATGACAGACGATTTTCCGAAAGTAAATTTTAATATTTACGGTGAATATGAAACTTTCAACAACTGGGCTGCAGCAGTATTAGACAGTCCAGATGAAAAACAACATAAACGGAAGCGGACATCAAAGGCAGCCAGCAACAACAAAAAGCGAAGAACAGCTAGACATACTCGAGGGAGAAAAACACGAAGAAAACACCAAAAAAACAACAGCTAATGACGTTTTGGAACTAGCAAAAGAGTCGTTGGATGAGATGCGGAAGAAATAATCCTACTCACAATAGCGATTTAAGTAGAAAAACCGGACGAATCCCTTGAAATATATCATCTGATCGATGTCTTGAGGTGTGGCAACCGTAGTATAAGCGGAATAATTGACTCCGGACCGTTGAATTATTAGAAAAATAATGCACACCCGAGGTGTAACGGCCACTCCGCTTCGCGTCGTGGCCGCATCACCACCTCGGGTGTGCATTATTTTTCTAATAATTCAACGGCCCGTCGTCAATTATTCCTTACATAACACACAGCACATTTATAATGACACAAGCGATTACTGAGAATTATTTACAAGCTGGCATCAGCCCAAAATGCTGCGCTGGCCGCCGGTACCTCCGCGCTACAGTATTTATTTACTTATAGACTTTGCCCAAATTCTGTCCTGGGTTTTAACTAATTAATAAATAAAAAAAACACTTAAAAGTAATGAAAATGAATCCAGCTTTATCAATTTGATGATGCATCCAGCTTAATTATTAAAAAGTATAGATACAACACAAGGGTCCCAGCAAGTGCAGCGTGTGAAAGACTGTTTAGTGTAGGAAAGGATATTTTCAGACCAAAGAGAAAACGGCTTTCTGATGCCACTTTTGAAAAGCTTTTCTTGTGCCATGTAAACAAACACTTGTTAGAACAATAAGAGCCCACCCAAGCACCATTACCCCTCTCCCACCCCTCCCCTTCCATCCCATCCCCCAGCACTAAAAAATTTAATTCAGGACTTTGATTCTCATTTCAGTTTGGACCAGTTCATTTGCTATTGTCCCAGTGATCACTCTCTGAGCCATGCTTATTAATCATGGTGTTGCATGTCGTCCATAAACACAGTTTAACACAGTTCTTAAACACGAAGATCATTTGTAACTTCAATCGACTTCTGAAGAAGTTCTAGTTAAGGGAGGCCCTGAGGAAATAAGATGGCTGTTAATATGGCTTTTCTTTTCCCTAGAAATTTTAAATTGATTTAAACCTATAGCCATGTCTTGCCCATCGAACACTACACAGTAGCTTTCATTTGGTACTAAATAGTTTGTTTACTAGAGTACTGGTTTACCTAGTAGTAGGCCAATAACTTTTTTTTTTTTTATTCCCAAAAGTAAGCATTTATTTATGTCTCGATGCTTCACATAATGCAATGTCTACACTGTGTTAAATCATGGGTTGTTCTTTAATAAACGTCTTAAACGTGTATCTGACTGTCATTTTGCACTGATCAGGCATTAGGTTGGTACAACGTGAAGTAGCTTCTGATGTAGCAAATTACTTTTGCCATATTTGTATAACTTAGCTTGCTATATTTCTATGAGCTTGCTATATTTCTATGAGTGTGTAGTGAAGCTTAATTTATTGTAGAGTAACTGATAGCTTAGCTCACTACACTTTACACGTAGCTTGCCCAACACTGTTCATCATTAATCATGACATCTTTTAACTCAAGTAGCGATTATATTTGTTCATGATTTGTACTTAAGCAGTATCTGAGTTATTATTAAGTACTTGTGCCCCGTCATGCAAAGTGTTACCTATAAATGTAATTTTAAAGGTATGAAAGTTCTTTTTTGGCATTTTACTGAAATTAGCTTAACTGACTTAAATAACTACATGGACTTTCTTCTAATACGTAATATATTATGCAATAAATATATACATTTATATACACGCACACAGATGCTCTTCTTATGCTCGCACCAATCAGTTTCTCTCGCAAGGCAGGGCGATGGTTGGACAAGTTTCTTGAATGGACACCACTATTTATATCCGTAATCTAATCTTGTTTGAGATGGTTTGAGGTTATGGATTGCTTGCTGTGTGAACAGCAAAAAGGACAGTACATGAGAAAATTCCATTATGCAGCATTACGCAGGTGTGTGACCACAGAATTTATGTTTCCGGAAATCAAACTGAGTGTAATTCAGTCTTGCTCACCACTAATATATTTACATTTCAACAGCTGTGGTGCAAGACAGTGCCGATGGAATATTACAAGTGCAATGTGATTTAAGATTTGAGTCAGCTTATGTATTTTAGTATTAAAAAGTCCTTATAGAATAATTATGGCTCACTATCACAAATAAAACGACTTTCCTCTATGATTAAGGGAGATGCATATGTGACTTGTGCTATGAGGTGAAATTAAACATACCAGTCATTATAGTTATTATATGTGTAATTATGCCACTCACATTTATCCTATAATCTGGATTCAATTCACCACCTCCACCTCGGTCGCCAGGTTTCTGTAAAATGTTTTTAGGCATGGGTCAGAGTTTCCATACGGATACGCACATTCCGCCATTACGTTTGTCTCCATAAGCATAGATCGCAACGATTACGCGGGAAGTTGCGTACGCCTCTTTCAGGTGCCGTTATGTGCGTACGCAACGATTATGAGCCCCCTGGTGATTACTGCGCATGCTCTTAGGATCCGTTATACCACGTAACCCATCAGACTCGCATTTCAACAGTTTCTTGGATTACTATGGAGGGAAATCCCGGACATTTTTCAAAAGGAATTGCAAATTGCATTTGCAATTGCGTTTTCCATATGTGGACGCATAAAGTTTGACATAATTAAAATGCAATTGCAAATTTTGCATTACCGTTTGCTTTTTCGCTTTCGCGAACATACACTGCCACATTTGTGGTTGAATTATAAACATGCACTTTAAAATACGTATGTTTTGGAACTTAATTTTGGATTATTCGATAAGTGTAATTCAACGTGTTTTTTTCATCAACGACTTTTGTCATTAATTTACTTCCACACCCCTCTTGGTCGTCGACTGCGAGTGACGTCACTCCCCCATACAATCACGCCCCACAGTATAGACCCACATAAGACATGGGAAATGCAATTGCAAATGGACTTTGCTTTTTCATTTGAAATGTGGCAGTGTTCGTTCGCGAAAGCGAAAAAGCAAACGGTAATGCAAAATTTGCAATTGCATTTGAATTATGTCACACTTTATGCGTCCACATAAATTCCTTTTGAAAAATGTCCGGGATTTCCCTCCATAGATTACGATGGATTTTTTTTTAACAATAACGTTGGGCACACGCGAGACCTAATTAAACCTACGTTTTAATGCCTGAGCAAACATTCAGGTTTTTAATTATTTTGTGACATTCAATCATATGCTTAATGCAAATTTCATTTATCATAATGTACCAATCATCATAAAATATTACTAGACTGTTTATGTTTTTAATAAGCACTATATACGCTAACAGTTATCCATAAATATAATAATCACAACAGAAATTAACGATAGTATGTCGCTCATGGGTTAACTGGAAATGATTTAATAATCATTTTTTAAAAATGCACGTAGCCTATAAAATATTTGAAACACCATATTGCAGTTCGAGAGACAATATTCTTATAAGTGAGACACGGACACGTTATTGACTATATAAAGCTTCAATAAACTGTAATGAAGTAGCAATCGCCCTTTATCTACATCATCACTTCTTTATCGGACATATAGTCAGAAGGCCCCGGTTACCTGCGATTTGGGAGACAAACGCCTCTGCAGCGAGTGACATCGTGGGTGACAGTTAGACAATGCTCAAATAAATATACAAACAAAAAAGCTGAATTCTCCCTACAAATACCCCAGGACAGCTATGCTGCCACAAGGTTAAAGACTACTCCACGATCCTCCGACAATGACCTCCCATACTGCATTGCGTCACACTGACAGACCTAGCACTTCCGGTAAATCACTTCCGGCTAGAGTGCTTGTTGCAGTACCGTGAAGCTAGCAAGAATAAGCAAGAATAATGAACCGGAAGTACTTTCGTTGTCATGGTTATAACAGAGCATTTTTCAAATTAAAATCTTGCGTGCTCTGCGAGCTATCAAGGTGGACTTGCGGCTTTGTATTGAGTCTGCTGGTTTCTCGTGTGCGAATTGAAGGTAAAATTTTATATGATATA